TGTCAATTCGTCCAGTGGGTTTTGAGTTCTGTTAATCCCACAAACGAACATTGCATTTTTATTTATATAGATTCTGCTGGCAATGAAGCAAGTGGAGGATGCCACCAGGCAACAGAGGCCAGGCTACCTCAGATACCCTCACTGATTGACTTTGCAGCTTCATGGCTACCCAAATGCTAGTTCAAGCTTGCCAATTGCAATATTCACACTTGCTTCAACAGACAAGGGTCTTACTCCCACCCTGGACATTATTCCACAGAGATATATACACACTCCACTTGCCTCGCTGCCTACAGAACTTCTGAAGATGCCAGCCACAGATGCAGGTGAAACATTAGCTGGAACATGGCCAGGCAGCCTGAAAACCGCACAGCAGTCTAGTATATTGTTGTTGTTATCACTGGGTTTTTTGGCCTGACACCAAAAAATTTAACCTGCCTGGCCTTTGATAGGTGGCCCAAATGGGGCACAATCCACCCTAACTCATACAGTTGGGGGACTTTATTAAAAACCCACAAACCCCCTTTTGTCCTTTGGTTCGGCATCTGCAGCGCTGCCCCAAAGGCAACCCTGGGAAAGTCGGTCCTGTTAATAGGAGTCAGAAGGAAGCCCCCTTTCCCCACTCAAAACTCACCGATGATGTTGGGGTGCTGGAGGTTTTTCAGAATGCTGGCTTCCTCATTCAGCCGCTTTTGATACGTATTTCGCTGGTTGGAGTCACATCCGGGATTGATTTTCTTCACGGCCCAGGGAGAGCAAGGCATGCCTTTCGGAGACCTGGAAAAGAGGAATTCTTGATGGAGAGAAAGTCCTGCAGACTCTGCACTGGCTTACATCACCTTCAGTCACGTTGGCTAACATATCTCAAATGAGTTTCTGCCCTGTCTTCTGCGGCCACATTCTGAAATTTATTTATTTACTAGCTTGGGGGCCCGGTGCTACCCGGGTCATTTGAGAAAGACATTGTGTGGCAAGGTTGGTCTTTATCAGTTATTTATGTGGCTCGCAGTGCTCTCAGGAAGTTTGTGAAGGTACTGCAAGTCCCATCGTCCATGGTCCATCGTCCTCCAAACAGTACCAGGATGTAGAGTAGGTCATGGGGGCTCTGTGTGCCAAGTTTGGTCTTGATCAGTCATTGGATGAGTGTCACAGCGGTCTCGGGAAGCGAGTGGAGGTACTTCAAGTCCCATCATCCATGGTCCATCCCCCTCAAAACTGCACCAGGTCATGGGGGTTATGTGTGCCAAGTGTGGTCTTGTTTGGCCATTGGATGAAGGTCGCAGTGGTCTCGGGAAGCGAGTGGATTCCACTTTGTGGCCCCATTTCTTGAGGTTGGCTCTGCATCTCATGGTGCCAGAGCACAGTCTGTTCAGCGCCTTCCAAGGTGCCCAGGGGGGGAATCTCTCATTGGGTATCAGCCATTGGTTGAGGTTCTGGGTTTGAGTCTGCCACTTTTGGACTCTCGCTTGCTGAGGTGTTCCAGCGAGTGTCTCTGTCAATCTTAGAAAACTATTTCTTGATTTAAGTCGTTGACATGCTGGGTGATACCCAAACAGGGGATGAACTGGAGATGTCTCCGTCTTGGTCCTTTCACGATTGGCTGCTACTTCCCGGCGGATGTCAGGTGGTGCAATACCGGCTAAGCAGTGTAATTTCTCCAGTGGTGTAGGGCGCAGACACCCTGTGATAATGTGGCATGTCTCATCCACTGTTTTAGCGTGGTGAGATGTGTTCCACACTGGGCATGCATACTCAGCAGCAGAGTAGCATAGCGCAAGGGCAGATGTCTTCACTGTGTCTGGTTGTGATCCCTAGGTTGTGCCAGTCAGCTTTCGTATGATATTGTTTCTAGCGCCCACTTTTTGCTTGATGTTCAGGCAGTGCTTCTTTAAAACTAGTTTGCCATGTTAAAATCGCCATATTAAAATCATCATCCAAAACAATCCAAGCACACGTCACTCATCCATCTCAATACTTGTTGGAGCAAATTCTTTCTGCCTTACCTTTTCATCAGGTAAACGCTGACTCCAGTCCCATAGCCAAGCTTCTGCATGAAAGGAGAGGCTGGAATTGTTATGGAGGGCGAAGGGCTACTCTGTCCTGTGTTGCAGAGAGAGAGAGAGAGAGAGAGAGAGAGAGAGAGAGAGAGAGAGAGAGAGAGAGAGAGAGAAATAATGTCTTTACATTATCATTATTATATTTCTATTATCATGATTACCTTTATGTATAGCCTGCTTTCTTGTCTTAAACAAGACCCAAAGCTGCTTCCACTGCTCATCAATTCCTGGTTGTTGTGATGCTAGGAACTATAGACCAGGCCTGAGCCACCTTGGGCCCTTCTTCCAGGCGCTTTTGGACTACAGCTCCCACAATTCCTGATTGTTGTGATGCTAGGAAATATAGACCAGGCCTGGGCCACCTTGGGCCCTTCTTCCAGGCGCTTTTGGACTACAGCTCCCACAATTCCTGATTGTTGTGATGCTAGGAAATATAGACCAGGCCTGGGCCACCTTGGGCCCTCCCTTCCAGGTGTTTTGGACAACTCCCACAATTCCTAACAGCCGGAGGGAGGGAGGAACCAAGCTGGCTGAGGCCTGGGCCACCCGTATGAAGAGAGGCGGTGCCCAGCCCTGAGCCAAGGCCTTGTGGGTTGTTGTAGGTTTTTTCGGGCTATATGGCCATGTTCTAGAGGCATTCTCTCCTGACATTTCGCCTGCATCTATGGCAAGCATCCTCAGAGGTAGTGAGGTCTGTTGGAACTAGGAAAAAGGGTTTATATATCTGTGGAATGACCAGGGTGGGACAAAGGACTCTTGTCTACTGGAGCTAGGTGGGAATGTTTCAACTGACCACCTTGATTAGCATACAATGGCCTGACTGTGCCTGGGACAGTCTTTTGTTGAGAGGTGATTAGATGTTCTTGTTTGTTTCCTCCCTGTTGTTGTGCTGTTGCAATTTTAGAGTTTTTTTAATACTGGTAGCCAGATTTTGTTCATTTTCATGGTTTCTTCCTTTCTGTTGAAATTGTCCACATGCTTGTGTATTTCAATGGCTTCTCTGTGTAGTCTGACATGGTGGTTGTGCGAGTGGTCCAGCATTTCTGTGTTCTCCAATAATCTGCTGTGTCCAGGCTGGTTCATCAGGTGCTCTGCTATGGCTGACTTCTCTGGTTGAAGGATTCTGCCGTGCCTTTCATGTTCCTTGATGCGTGTTTGGCTGCTGCGTTTGGTGGTCCCTCTGTAGACTTGTCTAATTACCTCTCAACAAAAGGCCCCAGGCACAGTCAGGCCATTGTATGCTTCCTTTTTAAAATTACCAGGTGCAGAGGATGCATTTTGCTTGCTTCAGCTGCTGGAGACTTTTGGGAAGGAAGGAAGGAAGGAAGGAAGGAGGGGAGATTTGTCATCAAGCCAGCCCACAGATTAGGTTTTAAGCAACTCTCAGTATGCTCCAGTCTTTGTCTACAGGGGGAAAATTTATTTTTTTATTTTATTTTTATTTACTTCATTTGTTGACCGCCGCTCTCAGCCCTGGGGCGACTCGCGGCGGTGTACAACAT